ACTGAGCAGCTCCCTGTGCCCCCTGGCTGCAATGTGCTCTTTTTGCAGTTTGCATTGTTCAGGAGGTGTGAAGTGCTCCTCTGAACCCTCTGCCTGCTCCCAGACAATCTGTGCACACACACCTTGTTTTATGCTTGCTGGGGCTCTTTGGTTCTTTCATCTGGTTGGGTTTTGTTTGTTTGTTTGAATTTTCAATTTCGTTTCCTGTCTGTGGCGGTTTGGTGCCTGGTCCCTGAGCTGTGCTTTGCCTTTGGATGAACATTCCCTCTGGAAAAGCCAAGGGACACCAGGCCCACGGATCCCAGGCCTGCAGCTGGGGCAGAGCCCTTCTTTGGCTGTAATTAACTTCTGTGCCTTGAAAGAATATGCCCCTCACTGATCTGCAGTGTGCAGCTGCTGATTAAATTCCAAAAAACTTCTTTTCACTAAAACATTTTGTTCTGTTTAGTCCTCCTGGGATGGTCACATGGCCATTCAAAAACTGTTGCTTTGCACCATTCTGTCACTGAAAGGAGCTGAGAAAGCTCCTGGTACAGAGACCCAGAGTATTTCTTTTGAAGCAGACATTGTAAAAATAGCTGGGGAGAAAACAGCAGTGTCTTAGCAGCCAAAAAAGCCAGATAAACCTAACTGAGGAGCAAAAACAACACATGCCAAAAAAGAACTCAAGCAATCGCCTCAGACAGTCCAGCAAACCAATCAAAGAGTGGGAACGAGAATTGCCAAGTGTCACTGGAGACAGCTGGGAGGGATGGGGAAGGCAGGAGAGCACAACAACAGGAACAGAACAGAGGATTTCGGTTCAGTGCAGCTCCTCCACTGCAAACCTTTGTTTTGTCCCTGTGCCTCTGAGACTGTCACTGCTTTAACAGGAAAAATAAAAATCTCCTGTGCTAAAAAACCCTCTCAGCCTCCTTCATCCATGGCAAATTGCTGTGTACATTGCAGATAGAGATTTACAGCACAAAGATACTGAGTTATTGCAAATCAGAATTCCATCTCATGGTGTTTCATTCCACTATCAATTCATTATGTGCCTCACTGCAATTAAATCCTACAGGACTTTGGAAGCCCTCACCTACAGCCAGAGGTGTGGAAAAGCTTTGTGGAATGCTTGGAAGAGCAGAAGAGCAGAGAAGCCAACAAAAATATTCTGCCCATTGGTAAGAGAGAAAATAAAAGACCTGGTTGCCTTAAAACAAGCAAATAAATTCCCTGCTAGCCCAAACCTCAAAAAATGTTCACTCCATCCACGTCAGGAGGGTTATTTATGAAACTGTATCCTTGTCAGGGCTGCAGGACATTCCATCCCTTTGCTCAAATACTGTAAATTCATGCATGATGAGAAAAATCTTAATTTGGCCAAAATATCTATATTTATCTGAAAAGGCAAGTGATCAGCTTGCCCGAGTGCTGAGATGGCCTTTCAGTGGCTCAGTGTGCAGTTACAGCGCTGCCCCCGTGCCAGGGCTCCTCTGTGGAGCAGGATGGGTTCAGTGCAGGATTTCACTGTGGCTGGAGCAGATTTCCCTCCTCAGATTTCCCTCCTGCTGTCCAATCCCCGGTTTTGAGAGCTGCTCCCATCCTTCTGCAGGGAGAGCTGGAGCTAAACCCATCACCCTGGGAGCTGAAGGGAATTTCCTGCCCGCACTGCTGGTTGTGCCGTGCACCAGGAGGGAAATCTGTGCCAAACTCACGAGCCAGAGGGGGGCTGGAGGGGGCAGGAGCTGAGCAGGCTCCATCAGCCCTTCCCTCACACAAACCAATCCCCCAGATGCTTTCCCTGACCCAGAGCATGCTCCGTTTGCTCCTCAGGGCTGTAAATCAGGGGTTTATTGTTCAGGGGATGAGCTGGAGCAGGAGGAGTTTCTGTGGCCAGTGCAGGGCTGAGGTCACATTCCAGGGTCCAGTTGTGCATCTGCCCAGCCGAGCTGCAAATCTCTGAGCACGAGATGTTTACAGAGAGAGGGAACAGCATCTCCCCAGGGGCAGCACAGGGCCCAGGGAGGGGCTGGAGCTGAGCTTGGACCCTTGGAGTCTTCAGGGAGGAGAAATTCCCCCATCCCTGCTCGGATCCCACTCTCTGGGACAGGGAATGTGGGACCTGCAGCTCATCCTGGCCCAGCAGGGGAAATACTGCAGCTTGTTGCAATTCCAATTCTAGGCACAGCAAATGCTGTTCTTGTGCTCTGGTTTGGAGCAAAAATTGAGAGAATTTCCCTGAAATCCATCCCAATGTGCCAGCTGGATTTCAGGGAAGTTCTTCCCCACAGGGTGCTGGCACTGCCCAGGCTCCCCAGGGATGGGCACGGCCTGAGGCTGCCAGAGCTGCAGGAGAATTAGGAAAACCCTTCCAGGGATGCCAGGGTGGGATTCTGGGGCTGGGTCAATGATCCTGGGGGTCCCTTCCAGCTCAGGATATTCCAGGATTCCCTGGAACAGCTGAGGACTCTGCTCAGACCCTGGGCAGGGATCAAACAGGAGGGACAGCAGGACACCCTTGGGTGCTGACCCCAAACTCCTCCCAGAGCCAACATCTCCAAGGAAAATCCCCCTCCCATTCAGGGACACCACAGCTGGGCTCTCATTTGCTCCATTTTTGCTCCAAACCAGAGCACAAGAGCAGCATTTGCTGTCCCTGGAACTGGAATTACAACAAGCTCCAACACTTCACCCTGCAGGGCAGACCCAGGATGAGCTGCAGGTCCCACATCCCCTGTCCAGAGATGGGACCCAAGCAGGGATGGGGGAACTTCTCCTCCCTGAGCACTCTGGTGACCAAGCACTTGAGAACAGAATGGGAAAAGTTGCTGTGATTGAGCTTCCATGAATGGAATGTTCACCTCCCTGCTCATCAGGAGGAATGTGGATCATGCATAAATACATGTCTGTAATTATAATCAGCATGTTTTATAGGAAAGAACAACCACTCTGGCTGGAAATTGGCTGTAAATTTCCATACCAACCTGAAAGCTATTTTAAGCAAAGTGCAGAATGTGACTCAACAAATGTTGAATCAATACTTGCATGCAAGAAATCAGATATAAATTTGGGCAATGCTTTCAAGTAGTCATTCACCAGCAATTAATAAAGTATAAAAAAAAAAACTAGAGGAAAAGAATGAGCTTTTCCTGACACTGACCACAATTCCAGCTCATTAAATTCTTCTTCTCTTTTTTTTTAATGCAATGTTTGTCCTCATTATTTATCTCCACTTCATAACAGAACACTTGTTCTCATGAAAACATAACCTTGTTCTCACACCCTTTCACTGCACGTGCCAAACTCAGTTTCAGACATATTTTGTTGGTATTCCTCTAAAACTTGGGAAAACTGGAGACTGACTGACGTGAGGGAGCCATAAACTGCAGCACAAGATGCCAACAAGTTCTCTGTGGGATCTGGTACAGCCAGCTGAGCTCCTGAGTGATTGAAAAACAACCACAGGGAAGCTCTTCAGAGCCACACAGCAAATATTGACTGTTGTTAGAAAGTCTTCCCTGTTAGACAAGGAAATAAATTCAGATTTATAGGCATTTTCCTGTAGCACAGATCTTTCTCTTTTACAAAACCAGGTCTAACCTTGGCCAGGCCTGTTTGCAGTCACAATTGGCATCAATCAGAGCAGCTCTTGGTTCATGGAACCACGATTAAACACCAAACTGCTTTGGGAGAAGGGGCTCAGAGCTCCCTCATGGTTTCCCAAAAGAAAACTCTGCTTATCCAGCCCTGCTTTTGGAGGTCAGCATGAGGACCACCTTTCCCACCAATCCCAAATAAAATCCCAAGGAGGAATCTCTAAGAACCTCAGTGTGCAGTGCTCTTCCCAGTGTTGTTCCTCCTTTTTGCAGTTTGACAAATTCAGCCTCTTTTTCCTCATTTCTGGCTTTTAAACAACCCAGGCTTCACCCACCATGGTGCAAAACTCAGGAGACAGAGCTGAGCTTGGGGACTGAGGTAAGCAAACCTACCCAGTGGATCATCCCATCAAAACAAATCAAATAAACCACCCCAAAACAACCCCAGCAACTTCCAGAGCTGCCACAGCCTCACTTTGCCATCTCAGAGCTCTTTGTAAATTTATTTTTAAGTCACTTCAAAGCACCAAGAGCACAGCGGCAAAAGGTACCTCAGGAATTGTCTTAAGTGGATTTAGGGACCTGTAAGTAGCAAAATCTTTGCTGATTTTATAGCAGATGCAGAGCAGTGGTGCAGCTGGAGAAACATCAATTACTGCTGCTGCTCACAAATAAACACTGAGGGCCTGAGCCAAGCTCCTCCTGCCCAGAGCTGCTCAAACCCCAGCTCCTCCCTGCCCTGTTCCCTCCCCTCTTTATCTGAACCCAGAGCATGAAGAGGAACTCCTCGTTCCCTCCAATTTCATATGTTTAAAATTCAAGGCTCATTCTTGTGTCTCAGCCCATTTCTAATTAATTTCTGGGTTAGTGTTTTCATGTTTTCCATTTCACTGAGCAAAACAGGCTCCTGAGCTGTCCATCTCCTGCTGCAGCAGAGATGGAGCTGGAAAACAACAGGAACTTCTCATTTCTTCATTCACCTGAAAAATGATGGCTCTGCAAGCCAGCTCTGGGCTATCACTGAGTTTGATTCTGGAACATTTTAATAATAAGAGATACTGAGATTCCTATAACCAGTGAATATTCATTAATGCAAAATCACAGAGCAATCCCTTATAATTATATGAAGTGTCCAAAGCATTGACCATTGCAGAAAATTATAATTAAAGTTATTGGAATTAATTAGAAAAGGAGATAGTAATTAAATTCCTGTTGCTGGCATGTAAAACTGCTCTGAAATTAAATACAATGGATGGTTCCTCCAAAAAGGGGGATGTGGTGGACTTTTCTCCCTTATGCTAGACAAAATTAAAGCTCATTTTTATGGGAAGGCTTCTTTAATAAAAATACTCAAAAATCTTTACACAGTGGAATTCTGCTAGGATGATTTTCCTGCTGAAATCAAAAGGAATCAAGACTTACCTTTCCCCATGAGGAGACTCATCCAGCCTGACCATAACCTCAGGAGCAAAACTCTCAGATGGCTCCTCGGGTGGGATGAATTTGAGGCAAATATTTCCTAATTCCCACCTGCTGGGCTGGGGATGGAGCCAGGAGGGTTTGGAGCCTTCCAAAGCTCTGCTTTTCCTTTTTGGGGTTTGCTACCACCTCCTCATTTCCTATTTTGTGTGCTCCATGTGCAAACATTGGCTGAAATCCCCTCCCTATTTGGGAGATGTGCAGCTGCAGGTGGGCAGGGCAGGTGTGGCTGCTCTGAGTCCTCTCTGATGCCTCCAAGGGCTGCCTGGAGCAGAGGCTGGGCAAAGTTACAGCAATAAATAGATTTTTATTAAAAGCCTTCACAGGACACACCTTGGGCAGTGCCAGAGCCCGGCCATGGCTCCACCCCAGATGGATCCTGGCCACGAGTTCTCACACTTTGATAAGTTTGGGTCCATTTCCATGCTGGGGTTCAGTGTCCAATCCCAGCTCCAGGTGATGCAGTCCCACCCTCCCAGGTTGCTCCCCTCCATTCCCTGTTGTTTGCACTTTTGGGGCTGAAGCTGCAGCGGTGTCCTTGGTTGTGGGGCTGGAAAAGGATTGTTCTGTGGGGCTGAGCTGGGAGCAGAACTGCTGACACTTTATAGGGAGTTCAGAGTTATAACTAACACAGTACCGAGTCTGGAAAATAGGAAAGCTCAAACTGAAAGCATCATCTCCTCGGGCTGTTGTTCCCTGGAGAGGAGAATCCCATTCCTGCAGTGAGCACAGGACATGAGGAGGTTTCTCACACCCCAGAGCTTCATCCACTCCCTCTGACAGGGATGCTGTGACTGAAACCCTGACATCCACTGAACTGGAGTGGGGAGAAATGTGGGGATTTTCATCACAACTTCTTAGGGCTGCAGATCTGTTCCCAGGGCTGACTCCAAGTCCTAATTACTAACCTGGTTTTCCTCAGTTTAGCATAGAATACTTGAAAATTGAAGGAGATGAAGGTTTATGCTAAAAGAAAATGTGATTGCTGCCACATAATTATGACAGAGTGAAAACTCCCACTGTGACTGCTGGAACTGCAGATGAGACACAGATCCATCAAAAGGAAAACTCATCCCACTCGCCCTCCTTAATTCCTTCTTCCTTGGAACCCCTGCTTTTGTCTGTGTTTATCACCCTGCCAATATTCTCCTGTTAATTTTAAGTGTCACTTGGAGGGAATTTGTGGGGGTTTTATTGATAGTAATAAAGCCAGACCAGAGCTGCATGCAAGGTGGAAAGGGCTTTTCATCCTGTTAGTGTCAAACCTGGTGGGCAAATCAGGGAGGTGGGAGAAAACCTTTTAAAAATACATTGATTTCCAAGAAAGCTTCTCTAATCCAGGCTGGAGACACCTGGATGCCAACCCCTCACTCAGGAAGAAAAATCCCCCTCTCCCCAGAGTGCAGTCCTGCATCCCCATTAAACTGGGATGTGGGGTTTTATTGTGGAATTTTCTCAAAGTCTCAAAGCTTGGAAACTTTTCCACTTGTCTCAGACGCTGTCTTGGCACCAGCGCAGGATTTCATCGTGCTGAAATTTCACTGCTCAACAGTAGAAACCAAATGTTTTCCCTCACAATCGTGCACTCATTCTCACTTGCAGAACAAGCATTTAGCAGCATATGTGTCCCTCTGGCCTTATGGTGCTGAGAAAGAAGATCCTGCTCTAGGAACAGGAAATTTGCCATGAGCTTGAAGCTTCCCTAACCACAGATTTGTAGGCAGTTACTGCTCCACGCAGCCACAAAGCATTAACTAAGTTTATTTTAATAAAATATTCATTAAATTGCTATTAGATATAACCCAGAACATCCATCCCCCTGTCAAAATATGTGCTGTAAGTCTGCTGAGAGCTCCTCTCAGTAAAAGCCCATTGTGCCCATTACTCAATCCATAAATGATGGAATAATAGGTGAGGAGGGCGATGAATCAGGAGCAGAAATCTGCAGGAAGAGCAGTGCTCAGCTGAGAGCTGCAGCCTCAGTCTCCTCATCAAACATAAATCACAGCTGGGTTAAAGCAGCCAGGGCTTGACTGCAGTCCCAGGGAGAAGCCAGGAGTCACAGGAGGGTAAAACACCCAGTGAAACAATGTCTGGAGAGCTCCAGCCTCGGGGTCATTGCAGCATTCACATTTTCTGAAAAATCCCTTCGCCAGGAATTTTCTTCTGGGAAGCTGAGAAGCCTCAGAGAAAAAGGAAAACAATAATTATCTGATTTCCTTCTCCTGTGTTTTGCTGCTTTGGAATGTGTTTGGAGATTGTTTACACACAGGTGATTGTTTCATTGGTTTCATGTGAATTATTTTTGCTCATTGGCCAACCAGTGCCAAGCTGTGTCAGGGCTCTGGAGAGAGTCACAAGTTTCCATTATTATCTTTTTAACCTTCTGTAAATATCCTTTCTGTATTCTTTAGTATAGTTTAGTATAGTATTCTTTAATATAATATAGATCATAAAATAATAAATTAGCCTTCTGAGAACATGGACTCAGATTCACCATTCCTGCCTTCATCCAGGCACCCACAAACACAACAACAGGTCATGGGCCTGGCCTGGTTCATGAGGCTGAGCTGGGAGCTTTGGGAAAGGAAGCAAGAGCCCATTGACCAGTGACAAGGACAGAGGGGGGAATGGCACTGATAGGGGGCTCTGGCAGCAGCCCCAAATCACCTCAGCTTGTGCTGCCTTTCCCTGGCCCCAAAGCTCCTCCCTCGGGCACAATTCTGGGATGTGGCCTGTCCCTGGTGATCCTGCTTCCGGATGTGGCCTGTCCCTGGTGATCCTGCTCCAGGATGTATTCTGTCCCTGGTGATCCTGCTCCAGGATGTATTCTGTCCCTCATGGTCCTGCTCCAGGATGTATTCTGTCCCTGGTGATCCTGCTCCAGGATATATTCTGTCCCTGGTGGTCCTGCTCCAGGATGTGGCCTGTCCCTGATGATCCTGCTCCAGGATGGGGCCTGTCCCTGATGATCCTGCTCCAGAATGTATTCTGTCCCTCATGATTCCAGCCCAAGTGCATCTGGCTTTGTTGGCTGCCCCAGCTGCAGGGATCCCCAGGCTCCCAGACAGGCCCAGGGCTGGGATTTCTCCCCAAGGAGCCCTGAGCTCACCCCTGGTGTGGCCTGGCCCTACAGAGCATGGCCAAGGGCCCAGCTCAGAGCTGGCACTGCCAGAGGATCCCATCCTGATCCATGCAGAGCCAAAACTCTTCTCCACCCCAGTGCTCTGGATGAGAACATCTCCCTCTCACGGCCCTGGGAACCAGAAACCCAAAAGCCTTTTTGCAGGCACCTCTCCCAGCAGCACTGGCCGAGTTTGTGAAAATTCTCCTCCTTTTTGGCTGACCTCTCCCTGCAGCTCGAGGGTCAGTCAGCTGCAGCCCCAGCTTGGCCAAACCCTTGGCATGAGGGATGGCTCAGCCTCCAAAGCAGCCCAGAGCAGCCTCTGTTGTACCCTCGGGGTGCTCACAAAGGAAAAGGAGCAGTTTGGAGATACCCAGTTCATCATTTGTTTCTACCAAGCCAAGTGAGGTCAATGCCATAGCCATAATATTGTTTAAATTCCATAAAACATTTTCTACAATTTCTTCAGTCTAAAAGTGGGGTGAAGTCCTTAATTTTCATCCCTAAATGTTGAATTCTTCCATATGAACTCGTGATTCCAGCGTTTTTCTGATCCTCCTGCTGGAGGGTGCATCTACAGCTGGGAACCTGCCTGAAAGCACACACAGAACAGAGCCAGGAACAGGGAAAGCAGAAAACAGATGGATAAATCTCTTCAAAACCATGGGAAAGGAGTGAAAAATGAGGGCCATTTGGGTGAGCAGTGGGGTGTTGAGACAGGGGGAGGAGGAATCTGAGGGCTGACCCAGAGTTCCAAGGAATGACTTTGCAATGAGCTGTCTCTGCTGGGCCTTTACCTCCCTGATCCTAATCACAGCTTCCTTCCTGCCACGGAACAGCAAGAGAAAGTCTGGCAGATTCTCCAGGTTCCAGTGGAAAGTGTGGGTTACAGAAAATTTCAAAGAACTTGGAAGTACTTCAAAGAAATTGATGAAAATCTGTTCTGCTGAATAATTCTCTAAATCACTTCTAAATTATTTGCCTGAGAGAGGAACAGTTTACATTTCAGGCATTTGGAAATTTCTTATGGTACAATCCAGCAAGAAACAGTGAAAAAAAATCTCAGTTAGAGTTTGTTTGGGTGCTCCCTTCATTCCTGGAAGGAGCAGTTTGCATTCCCCATGTAAGCCAGCCCTGCAGCTGGAGAGGCATCAGGACTGAGTCACAATTGACATTGCAACTGTGAACACTTTGTGTCCCTGAATGCATTTCTTATATGAACATATTTCATATATGAACATATTTCATATATGAACATATTTCATATATTAACATATTTCATGTATGAAGATATTTAATTTATGAACATATTTCATTTATGAAGTTATTTCATTGATGTCAGTTCCACACCCTCAGGGGGCAGCACTGAGGGCAGACACAAGGATGAGATGCAGACCATGGTAATTATTCAGAATATTCTCCAGATCTGCAGTTGCTTCTATTCTAGACATCTTCTAGAGGCAACCATGAAATGAAACCTTCACTCCAACGTGTATTCCAAAACGTCTTCATGGCTCCATGGAGATAAAACTGTCTGGGCTCTTTTGGAGATTTACTGCCATGATGTGCTCACTTAATTTGTGATGGAAAGAGCCTGTTGGAGTTACCATTACTCATTACTTCAGCTTCTCCTACACTTTCATTTGTCCTCCTGCAACTCTGTAGAGTTTGCTCAGGCTATAAATAAAGGTCTCTGGGGATGCTGGATATTGCACTCCGAACAAAAATTTCAGTGACTCATTCTCATACATATTTTCTGCCATTATCTTCATCACAGGCAAACGCTCCCCCTCACTCCAGAGGGCTGGGAGGAGGGAGCTGGCATGGGATCCTTGGCAGATGTAGGTCAGGAAGCTCTTGCCTCAGATGCCCTTGAAGGTGAGGTCTGTTTTACCCAATTGCTGGGGCAGTTTCTGCTTACAGCCCAAC